TTCAAGAAAAAGGAAGGTCTAGGCCTGTTGAGATGATGAAAATGCTTTATTCTTTTTTGCTATTTTGATTTAACCATGCTTTTTTTGTAGAATGTCTTGGAGTCTATGTAGTCCAGAAATTGTATCAAAATACAATTACAGTTATTTCATTGCGATGATTCAATGCAGCCCCATCCATCATCAGCCTGTATAGCTCCAACCACAACACAAAACCTAAATAACAACATTTTCTCCACCCAATCTCAAATTAATATAAACCTTTAGAATATTATGCCATCTGAAACCCAGAAGCAGCCAAAGAGGAGCAGTAATAATTAAAGAAATTAAAATAAAATATAGCTACCCAAATAAGAATCATGTTAAACTGAAGTGAGATTGTCCCTCTTAGGTTTATTTTAATCCCAGTTAAAGGCATTAGCCGAGTGTAGGTCCGTGGATTAGAAGAGCTACAACCAAGGTCTTTCATTTTCTCAAGGGCAGGAAGCATGCTCCCACGGGTCCTTCCCCACAGGGCCGCTCGCAGAAGGCAGCCACACATGATGAAGCCTGTTGCCTGTTGTTTAATCATTGCTTAGACTGCATTTGAATCCAGGCGCACATCACCAAAACCCCATCTTTAAATGGCACTTTTTTTTTTTTTTGTAAATTAAAACCTTTTTGATTCACTGGAATGTGCATTACTGCCTCTGGATAAATGTTTGTAAACGTTGTTACTGGTTTAAACCCACTCCATTAGTTTTATTTGTTCCTCCTTTTCCTGAACTTCATGCCTTTCTTGTCTTTCTCTGTGCTGTCTGCATGCTGCATGTTGCTCAGAGCGAGGACGAAGAGACAGATTATGAAATGAATGACTCTGATTAGGGTTGAGCACTTATGAGTCGATGGTGAGTGCTCAACTGCTCCCAGTCTCCAGCACTCACCCCTGGCCTGTCCTCCCTATGTGCTCCCACCCAGTACACATTACACTACTGACATCTAGCACTCATCTGACTGTATACATATTGCATAGCACTCAATTATAGGCATCTGTTTTAAATGTAGGTAACTTTTACTGTCTGGCCTCAGACGTTAAAACCCACCTTATTTCTGATTGCAAATCATAGAGATTTTCGGCCACTGGAACCTGGATCATTCTGACACCCTAACAAAATGTGCACAGTGTAAATGTTAATTTGTTATTGATGCCTATAATTGTGGAGGGCACTGAATCAGCTGGTCAAATAGGTCTTTGAGAGCAGATGAGAACAGCTCTTTGGTTTTTCGGTAGTGTAATTGAACCCCCTGTAATTACTGCCGTGCCTGCTGCCTTTGTTAATAGGGGCCAAGCTGAATCATCAGCTGCTGCATTTTCAGTTCTGGTCCATCAGTCAGAGAAGCATCCATTTCATCTCAATAAAGGTCACTTTGGACTATTGCCATATTGTTACAAAATGAAAATCAAAATAAGTTATAACTAGTGAACACAACTATATGCTACTATATGCTGTATAGCATCAACCCTCTGCTCCATCTGTATTTCTGTAACCTGCCAAAGACTCTCTCACTGTGACCAAAGTATTGACCAAAATCCCTGTTTGTTCTTGACAGATTCTTCAGGAAAGGGGTTCACGAATGTGAAGAGTATTACGAACTCCAGGTGTTATGATGCAAACATATCATCCCTATGGAAGAACATTTGGCACAATGGAGTGTTTAAAGGGGGGTCTACGTTGTCTTTTCTTGTCCCTCCATTTGCTTTTTTATTTCTCAATGTAAATAGGTATGTTTACTGACAATTTGTGCCTGTCTGTTTAACTGGACCTTTGAAAAGTGTAGAATTGTAATTTACTGATATTTAATGCTACAAATGTGGCCGACTTCATCGGGGCCAACTATTAACTCAGGGTCATCTGTTGAGTTTATTCATGATATCCTCCAGCTCAAGGGTCTGGTAAGGGACTGGGCTGGTCTTTTGTAACTCAAGTATCAAAACTTTGAACAAAATAAGACGTTAAGAAGGGACATGTTCAGATTTATGCAGGTAAATGGGAATTCTCCTCTCACACACTGTTAAAAACACCAGTTAATATTTATAGCATGTCTTCATCTCCAGCATGTCTTGGTACAGACTCAATAGAAAAGAAAACTGGACACCAAGTATTGCTGTTGAGATGTGTGGGTATTTTTGTCCACTGTATATACAGGGGGCATTATTTTAAAAGCCAAGTTTTCTGGCACCCATACAAATATTTTATCTGCAACAAAAAATGTAAAACATGACAGTGGTGGATCCTTCAACTTGATCTGTCACCACATCCACCTTGATATATTTTGTTCAAATATGAAAACTGTTTTGATGTCCTTTTTAAATGTGTTTTGCCAAGATACTTGGCACTGGAAAAAATATGAACATTGTCTTGATTATTTTCTTAACTGATTTCTACAGTGACTTTCAAAATTTTTGCTTGAGGGAATATCATTAACCTTTCTGGGGCCATTTGAGGACTGGAAATGTTCAAAGGCAGTGGTGAAGGAAATTTTGATCATATCTAAGAGAACTTGATGTATATAATTCAAGATCAATATTAATATTTAACTCTTAAACTGCACGTTTTGTACACTGTATAGAAAGCATAACTTCATTAGAAGTTCTTTATACTGGATCTTTATGAAAAAAATAGTTTTAAATTCTGTTTTGCATTGTTTGTACAGGTCTACAAATTTCGGAATTAAGGATTGATGCTGAGTGTCTTTCAGCATGAACATGCTTGAGACATGTTTTGATACCAATAACAAAGCTAAACCTGGCTGGCTATGAAGTTGACTGTTACATTTAAGAGTTTTTTGGGGTTTTTTTTCTTAGGGAGATGAGATTTCTTCTGAGCATTTTAGATTTTTGGTTTATAAGCAGCATTACAGCACTACAGTGAATTACCACTGTGCACATTGCTAATGTCATTGTAAATAGTGCATTTTGAAACACTTTTAATAGTTGTTTTAAGGTTTTGATGTGTTTTTATAGATTCATCATACTTTCACAAGTAGTAATCATTTACTGTTGCCTTTCCCCTGGTTGACCAAAATCCAATGTCTTACGTGTATTGTGCACATTGATCAGTGTCAGGGATGAGTAGTTTGTTGGTTTTTTTTGTTTTGTTTTTTTTTTTTTCGTAATGCTGGCTCACATTGTAAATAATTTAGTTAATGACAAACATTTGCTAAATACACAACAGTTTTTATAGTCTGAGATACAAGTATGAGATGCATGTTTGATATAAACATATGTACACAAAGACACAAGGGCTTTTAAAGTGAAATATTTGAGAGGATGACTCGGGCTGGATTTCCTGTCAGAGCTAGGCTATGTTTACATTTGCTATAGTATTCTGAAGCCTTCCAGTTAACACTGTCTTGCACTCCCTCACACATGTTGATACAAGTCTGACTTGTGTGACTTTACTGCAGCTAGCACTCCCATCTGTACTGATATTTACATCTTTGACCGATTATCAGTTTTAGCAACCTATGCTAGAGCGTTGCAGACAATCTTGCAATCTGCCCCATCAATGGCAGACTCAGTCTTAGTTGTGACAGATCTTTATTGGCCTAGAGTAGCAGTTTGTTCATGTAGGTTTTATAAAACTGTTTTGTAGTGACATTTAATGTTTATTTGACTTCACTGTCTAGTAGATGTATTACAGAGAAAATGTTTTACAAATGCCCTGTAATACAAATATGGCCCTCAGCCTGTTGTTTTGTTCAGGTTTCCCATGTATTATCATTTAATGTGATGGATATACTTATAAAAATCTGTAGCCTAATACTTTTAAGTGCCCACCTCTGCATTAAAGTCATAAGCCACAGACCACTGTTATGCATGGTTATATATGAATCCAAACGTGATCATAGGGAGTGAATGTTTCATCTTATTACTATAACTAACAACAATCATGTTGATTTGTTTTTCTCTCATATCACTACACTCTCTATGATCTTATGCAATTATAAAACAATGTGCAAAGTAACTATGAGGTTATGGCTATATAGAACGTTATGGTATTGCATAATGTAAACCCAATAAAAAGTCCATGAATACCGATATTTGTGCTTGCGTGCTTCTTGTCTGAGTGGTTTGAGTGATGGATATCCAAATCATTATTTGATAAATAGCGACATCTAGTGTGGCTTCAATTTACTGAATTCATGTACTCTAGTCTTTAATATTTGGGATACAATTACTTAAACAATATAGTGTTTTTTTTTACTATTATTATTATTACTATTATTATTATTATAGTTTGATCTAAAGGCATTTTTTCATTTACATGTATGAATATTGATAGAGTAGACAAAGATTATAGAAGGGGTAAAGCGAGTATATAGTTACTTCGATGTTGAATTGTTTTTGTACATGCGCACTTATAGTCAAAGGTTAATTTGGCACATATTGAACCTAGCGAATTACACAAGAAGTTTAGGTTTATTGAGAAATCAGAAGTTGCATAACTGAATCAGTTCTGGCATATATGCATGTGAACTCTAAGCAATTTTAAAATGTTCCGAGCTTCCTTGAATACAAAAGCCAAAACCGGAAGTCCTGACATTATACTATTTCATTTTGCTGCTCGCGTCTGGTTGGACTCGAAGCTGGTGGTTGTTCAGGAGGGAAACTTTACAACCTTTAACTGGATTTGAACACGTTCAGTTCCTTCAGTGTGAATAAAAAACACAGTGCCGCCGCATTGAAAGGTAAGGGAATGCCCTCGTATTTGAAAACATGCCATATACTTGCCTTGTTCTATGACATTTTGCCCGCTTCTGTTTGCGCCATTTTCGCTAGTTTTGTAAGGCATTTGTGTGCGCCATTTAGCTCTACCGCTCTTTGTCTTCCTCCTTATTGAATCAAAGAGTCACTCTACCATTCCGGTTGTTTTCTTATCTCCTGTGCCCATTCACTCCTGTATTGTATTTGGTGAGGAATGATTGCAACAGCATCGTTCTCTCCCAATCAGAGGCCAAAGCAAACACAATTGCGCATTTTTGTGCTGCATCAGGCCGTGTCAGCGCTAACGTTTTAGCGCCTGTTGTGACAACGTTCTGGCGCACACGAGTTAGCTTCTAGGCTAACCGGCTGTTAGCTTTTTTAGCAGGTGTAGCATACTTTTATATTGGCTAAAGTTTTGCCTGATGATAAAAGTTTCCCTTGATAACCCATATGACAAAATGACTAACAAATATTATCCGTATGCACACTGCAGAGTCGTGGTAGTTTTAAACTTGTAGAGCTTCTGTATCATGTTTGACTTGTCACAGGACAGGCTAATTTAGCTAATCCATAGAAATAACCTAGTCTAGTTATATTTTTTACTATTCTTTAATTACCTTGTTTACGAGGTTTTGCATAATGTCAGGGCTTACTGTTAGGTTACTCATGGCACTAACAGGGTAGAATCACGTTACTTATGTCAAATACATAAGGGGGGGGGTTTAGTAAATTCATAATAATATGTAGTTGATGTCTCTACACTTTCAGGAGGCTACCAATCATGTCTGGGATTGCATTGAGCCGGCTTGCCCAGGAGCGCAAAGCATGGCGTAAGGACCATCCATTTGTAAGTGAGAAACTGCTGTCAGATTGACCCGTTTGGTTGTGATTACAGTTAACCTCCTGTACATTCATATTTTTTCAGGGATTTGTTGCTGTACCAACAAAAAATCCAGATGGGACCATGAATCTCATGAATTGGGAATGTGCTATTCCTGGCAAGAAAGCGGTAATCTATTCAATACTTTGTCCAAATCTATTAAATTGCTTACTTGTGTGAAGTGGCTGTTTTTGGTGTTTTGAAGTATGTAAATGTAAGTTTTCTCTACAGACTCCATGGGAAGGCGGTCTTTTCAAACTCCGCATGTTATTCAAGGATGACTATCCCTCTTCTCCTCCAAAATGTAAGTTTTAAGTATGAATTGGCATAAACTAACAAGCAGCTCTATGTCCAGGCTTATTGAATTATTAAGTGTACATACAGCATTTGCTGTATTATCAAGACAAACACATCTCTCCTCAGGAGAAGCAACTAAACCTTAAAAAAATATATAAGGTAGTATTTTTGCACCTAGGCTGACAGTTATAGTTTGGGTGGAACCATGGCATGATCAAATACTATAAAGAAAAGATCCTCCCACATTCACTAAAAGGGTGATATGTAAATGGTGGTCATGAACAACTAGAATTGTATTCTGTCCACTAAGGCAGTGGTGGTGGGCTTCTCTGTAGGAACCTTCATTGCTCTATTTAGTCAATTGTATTTTCTTATTGTTTCAGGTAAATTTGAGCCACCACTTTTTCATCCAAACGTATATCCATCAGGCACAGTATGCCTTTCTATTCTAGAGGAAGACAAGGACTGGAGACCAGCCATCACGATAAAACAAGTAAAATAAAAATCACAACTGTCTTTTGTTTCAGATGAATGATAATTTTTATGTACCCATTGTATTCATCATTGTGTGTTGTGTAGATCCTACTAGGCATCCAAGAACTCCTAAATGAGCCAAATATCCAGGATCCAGCCCAAGCAGAGGCCTACACAATCTACTGGTAAGTTTTCTGCACACATTTTCAATTACAGACACCAGTCTGAAATGTCAACTACAAGATCAAAAAATGAGACAGAGGCAGTGACAAAAAGTAATGTCCTAGTAGCAGGCTGAGCTCTAGCCTGCTATAGAGCTGTATATGCTGCTATATTTGTATAAGGTCATAGGTGTGAATGGTAGTAGTTAGCATTTAGTATAATTTAAAATGTAACCTAGTATTAAATTATTGTGAAGCCTCCATTCAGTATGCAGTTTTTTTTTATCTTTTTTGTAAAATTGTACTTGTACTAAATACATACATTGATTTGCTTTTACTTTCAGCCAAAACAGAGTAGAATATGAAAAAAGAGTTCGAGCACAGGCCAAAAAGTTCTCTCCATCATAAGGAAGAAGGCTTCAGTTGAAGGAATGGGTTTAACAAGGATCACCTCTCGCTCAGTCTCTCAATGAATGTGCTCCTCTCACATGGAGACTCACTTAAAGACTTGTATTTAAACTCCACACATTCTGTGCCATCCGCCCTCCCATTTTTTTTCTTAATTGCCGGTTGGCACATAATGCCGGGAGGGAGTGGGTGCTTGGACACCCTGATTCTTTCTTTTTAAACATTGTCTTATATGGTGCAAAGGACACAGCTCAGTACCAGACTCTACTCCGTGAAGCTGGCTGTCATCAATGTTCAAGAAAGAAGTGTCTTGTTTTTCTTTACCTTCTCTTGGGTTCCCATTTGTTTTCAATCCACCTAATGTACATTTTGCTTATTTCATTGTCAGTATTCCCACTGCTGTATAATGACTGGCACTTTTCTACTGTCGTATCTCACTAGTGTCTCTAGATTCCTCAGTCTAATTCTTTCCCAGGTTTTCTACTCGGCATGCTGTAATATATCAGACTCTGCTGCCTCTATTTTTTGTTTGTTTTCAGAGTTTGCTTTGAAATAAATAAAATGGCCACATTGACTGAGGCAGGTAGGCTTTCTTCTGTATCTGGCTGTAAGGTAAAATGGTGCTTTGTTCATGTATGTGTTGGCATAAATAAAACTTTTTATAGAATATATGCACATATTTATTGGCTGAATAATATGTACAATATTGTTTCTGATTATATTTTATACAGAATACACATTGGGAAAAGTCATTAAAGCTCAGCTCAGTTCAGTTCATATTTCAGTAAAGAATATCAATTTCTTCTGTTTCGTCAAATCCCATGATCATGCATTTTAGTGGCTCACTTGCACCCAGTGCAGACTGCTGGAAGGTACTGAGGGTGCAGTAGTCGTTGCAGTACCAGGAGGGGCCCCTCTCCAAAGAGTGGGCACTGCTGAGCCAGCAGCCAGAGTCCCTCTCTGCAGGACTTCTGGACTGTGGGCTGAGGTAAGCACTGGTACAGCTGGCTGTAGCAGAGTCCAGCTCCGATGTACTCACTGCATAAGGAAGACCCGGCTCCAGTAAAGCACCATCAGGCTCACTCACGTTGGCATATGCACTTTGAGTCACTCTGGGGGAAGCCTCACAAATATCCTCATACTCGAACATTTTGTCAATGTGAACAGTTTTTTCTGTCTTTGGCAGCTCCATAGTTTTCTCCATCACTACCCAACTCTGAAATGTAGAAGAGAATATTTTATTAACATTGCATTATTGTATGTGAACTTAAACAAGGTGCAAATCCCACCTTAAAATCCCCATTGCAGTCAGTGTAAAGAGTGTGAAAATAAGACTCTGGAGTTGGAATGAAAGTTTTCACTCTCCACCTGCAAGAGTAATATAGATCTATAATAACTGGAACACTGTCACGGTCAATCTTTGCTCTGCCAAAACAGTATAAAATATAAAACTTTGAATTCTTACATCTTAACAGGAATGAAACATAAAATAAGGAAAAATGGCACCAACATGCACACAAGGATGAGCACTCTTTCCAAGTATATGGCGAGTGGATTATTTTCTGTAATGAAAGAGAATTTTATTATTGAAAGATTAAGAAGGAACAAATTTGTTCACTATTGATGTTATCATGAAAATTGTTAGTTATTAATGGTAATTTTATTTCAAGTATCCACAACAATCTGAAGTTGTTGTTTTTTTTCATAGTATCAGTTCAAACAAAAATCCATAAAGGAAACTGCTCTGTCTTGAGATATGGTATGTGCATGTATATGCAAATGTTCTACCTACAGATGGACTATGGTAGCTTTCCTGGTAGAGGATCCCCAGCCCGCTTCATCTCCACGGAGATGGTATTTTGTTTCGTATATTCCTCAGTATGGCATTAAACATATAATGTTTATAATTTAAATGGTATATGCTGAGATATTACCCTCTGCAGTCTTCCAGTAGATCTCTGTGGACCAGTCACTCCATTGTCCTTTGTAATGAGCCTGGTTGGGTTCAGACCGGACCTTGGCAGCATACTCCGTGTCAGGCAATAAAATACCATCTCGAACAGTAAAAGTTTTTTCATACGTAACAACATCACGTAGGCTCCCCTGTGACATAAGTTTATTGTATTAATAAGTGCCTACAAACAATAATTTTCTAGTAGTAATAGTAATCTAACATTGAACTCTTGTCCTTTTTTGTAGAAACGTAGCTGATATCTCAATTTTTGGTCAAGTTCCGTAAAATCGTGTTCCTCATACTGGCTTTTCCAAGAGAAGCTGTACCGACTGGAGTTTAGACTCATGGTAAAGTTACATGGTGGCATTGGTTTAACTAAAACAGCAGGAAGAAATAAACAAAAAATTCATACAAATCACATTTACATTTGTGTTGAATACAAGTTGAGTTCTCACTGGTTTCAAAAGGGATAAACTTGTCATCTAGTAGCTTACAGCTCTCTGCCTCATTATGGTAACAAAAGAAGATACTGTAGACATCAGTATCCACAAAAACAAAGGGTACTTTAACAGTACAGAAGAAATGGTCCATCTGCCAGTTCAGCGGACACAGAGTAGGCTCACTCCTGGAAAATGGGAAATGGTGAGGGCAAATTTTCAAATAAATAAATTAACAAAATCTAAACTAAACAAAGGCATTAATAGGAAGTATCACTTACTCCACATCTGATTCTCTTAATTTGAGCTTTTCAGGGATGAGATCTGCAGACAGGTTGCCTTTCAGGGTGCAGTTAATGATGGACACGTAGTCATTAACACAGTGCAAGATGTAACTCAAATCTAGACAATACACACTGAGTGAGGTGGAAGAAGTATTCAACTTTATATTCAAAATATAATAGTCAACAAATATCTTATGTAAATGAGAATTATGGCTGTACAAAACTATGTTTTAATACTTGTTATCATATCTTACAAATATGACTGATAATGCTACTTAGCCTGTATTATTACACTATCTAATACCATATGTCTAATACTAGGACTCATAATCCTAATCATGCTTCTACTCAGTAATATTAATACTACCACTACATACTAACTCTGTTTTTTTTTTAATAAGATGAAAAAAAAAAAAATCTTGGAAAAAAAATATAGAGAAGCTATTGGATATTTTTGACATTACCTGTCATACGAACAAGCGTGAATAGCATTAAGAGCAGGATAGTCGCTGTCAGCCTGCGAGTTAGAATCATGTTGTAGGCAGGACAACGCTCTCGTCTGTCCTCTTTGCTGTGGGACCACAGTTCAGTGATGTCTGTGTGAAGCTATCATACACTAACTGAGAGAGAGGTATCAGTCAATCTTCACTTCAGATACGTATCTTTCTCATGTGACCACTGTGTCAGGATACACCCATTTGTGCTACTAAACTATATGTTATCTTGATAATATTGGTAATGTTGTAACCCATAGTGGTTTATTTATGTGAAGATAGATTTTAGTAAGAAAAGGAAGCCAGTATGTGTTTAAATGGGGCCTCAGTCATCATAGCTTTACCACAGACAGTATCTTACCGCACTGCACTGTCTAAAGGGACATATATTTTTAAAATTATCTAAAAATGTTTCTACAACTGTGTGAACTCTACATCTCAGTTCATACCGTATGTTGTGCAACAGTCTATCTCCATCTTGCTGCAGTTCCTGTGCATCTGATACATATATGTTTTTTCCACATTTTGTGATAAGACCTTTTAAAGAAGGGCTTGTGGTTGAACTTAAAATTATCAGATGTACAAGGACAGATGTATTAGTATTTTATTTAAAGCTGAAGTATTTGTACAATTTTACATAAAATGTGTGTATAAATATATATGACTAAAAATAATAGTTTTATATAGGCCTGGATTGTAACATTTAGGCAAACCATCACTCACAGGCTAGCTTGCTATCAAAGGCAGACAATGTGATGGCGAAAGCTTGCAGGGCGCACATGGGGTAGCTGTAATCCATGGAGAACACATCTTCTGCCACACGGCCAAACTGCATCACTATGTAATCCTCTGTAGTAGACATCAGCAGGAGGCACAAAGAAGAGACGATTAACAAGAGGAACTTTAATGGATTGAAAATAAATACATTTGTGTTTATCTTACCATTATCAGGGTGAATTATCTGAAAGTTTTTGACGGAAGCTTGCGTGACACGGCCATGAAAGTTGAGAACGTACGAGTGTGTCTGCTCGTTCCAACTGGGACATTTGTTGATAAGAGTAATGAGCTGATCCGTGTTGTGATTGGCATGGCGAGTGAGCAGTGTTTCCAGTTCCTAAAAAAACAAAAACATTGCTACTATAAATGAGAGAAAAAATTAAAGAGTACTAAAAATTTTACACAAAAATCCACTTTATAACTATTACGAAGCCTATACCACATTTTAAAATTCCCTCCTCGTCAGCTTTTAGCATATTGTTTCTCATTACATCACTTTTGGCCACTTGATGTTACCCAATAAGTCAATCTTTCTGTTATTTCAGGTCTTCCAAGATGTCTGTTAAACAAATGAAAAATCTATTCACTGCTTTAATTAATTTTAAAGCTGCGGATGGTCAAATATTTAAGCAAACCCAGATGTAGATTTGATTTCTAAACCGAGCATGGCGGGCATGTGCTGATATTTTGACAGCAGACTCACATTCTTTGGTGCAATGGATACTCTTTCATCATCAATCATTCCTGGGATAATCACAGTCATTTTCCTGGGACCTTTAAACCCCAACACATTTGTCTCCTGGAAAAATACAAAAATTACAATTTAATTAGGTGTTATAGTTTATTTAATTGAATAAGTAACTGTTTAGACTCACATAACAAATTGCTGCCAGCTCTTGTCGCACTGATTCACTCTCTTTTATAAAGGGCTTTTTCTCTGGGTTTTCCCCACCGTCATATACTGTGAATTTTGTACCTAGAACGTTGGACCTGAAGAAAGCAAGCTAAATATGTAATATGTGGACAGTAAAATACTACTCAGGAATACATTGGGGATTATATACCTTAATTTTCCTATGTAGCTATTTGTATTCCTGGACAGATTTGTTGGGTCAGTTGAAATCAAATAATTAGCAGTTTTACATTTTTTTCTCTTTCTTCCCGCCATTAAAAACACCTGTGCAGGGATAATAAATGTTCATATTTATGTTTTTCTAATGTCATTAAATGTATGATTGGTTAGTACTAAACCTACCCTTTTTCCATCATCTTTCTCCAAATGCAGGTAGTACGTAGGAAACATCCCCTTCTCCATACCTCTCCGATCTCTGGTCACTCGACATTGTATCGTCACCTCTTTTGGGGCTGGGCGCAACGCAAACTTCTCCAGATCCTCCACGGACATGGGAGAAGTTGTCTGAAAGATAAACGTGTTTTTAAATTTAGAAAAAGTCAGTCTTCAAATGATTTTTTCTATAATGAGCTGTATGCCTTACTCTGTCATGGTCACTTTCAGAATTCCTCCTGTAGTTGGAGTTCAATGATGCTAGACTCTTTTCTTTTTTTGTTGATTTCTTTTCTTTTTTCTCTTTTTCTGAATTATCTTCATCTTTGCTTTCATCACTTATTTGGCACCTTGCTATAGGATGAGATTAAGTATTTTATTACTGAATTATGATTTGACACATTTATACTATTATAAACATACTTACTAGTGTCAAGCTTATTAGCTCTCTTTTCTGACTGTGGGGAAAGCCACTGCTGGTTGCTCTCCTCATTATCACTTTCATCACATTTTTTTGCATTTTTTAGACTTGTAATTTCATGAACTGTGCCTGCTTCTTCTTCTGAATCTTCTTTTGGATTTCTCTCTATAGCCAAGAAGACATCAATTTGAACAAGTTATGATTAAGATGAATATTGTACATTACATTTCTATTGAGAGTGTCTATGTAAGAGTGTACATACTTTTATGTTCTTGTCTCTGTATTTTTTCACTGTCATCTGAGTCTTTAGAGCCTTTAGATTTGATTTTCTTTTTTGTTTTCTTTGGCTTTCTCTCTATCTCTTGCTCTTTCTCATTTTCTTCAGTTTGTTCCACTTCTAAAAATTAAACACAACACTGTGAGAACAGACATAAAGGTGCACTATGTAACTTTTCTGGTAAAGGGTCTGTCACGTGCTTGTCTCCATGGAGACAATGCCCTAGGATGTTCCTCAGCATTTAGTCAAGTTAAATAGGCTGTACTATGGAGTATTCCAGGCAAAACAGTAGTATCTCCATAGAGAAAAGCAAGGTGTGGACCTTCCACCAAAAAAGCTACATATTGCACCTTTAAATAGAACATCTCTGCACACAGGAATTATTCACTATAATTAACAATATCATACTTTTGTCCTTTTCTTTTTTCTTTTTGGATTTCTTGTTTTCCACTGGGACATCATGTTCAACTTTACATTTTGATTCCATCTCTTTGTTGATCTCTAGGTTCACTGTTTTCATTGTCTCCAGTTTCTCCAAAGATATCTCTTCTGGAACGTCACATTCACCCAGTGTGATCTCATCCACTGGGTTGTCATGGGCATGTTCAACTTGGTCTGAAAAGAACACAGCAGAGGCATAAGACATAAAATAATGTGTTTTTGTTATACTTTACTGTCTTCACTCACCAGTTAGGGAAGCAATACTGAGGGAATGGTTAAATAACAGAGGTGTCTCGTCCGATTTGGTTTTCTGTTTTCTCTTTTGCTTTGAGTCCATATTTGAAACTACCATCTGATTGTCAGCCCTCTTCCTCTGCTGTCTTTTCATCAGAATGGCTCTCTGAAACAAATGTAATTTTATAATGTGTAATCATTTTACATAATTATGCTTGATTTAATAAAACATATTGGTCTATTTATGCCCACTTTTACTACAGTTGAGTCTTTGTTTAACCATAATTTATTTAGCATTGTTTCAGTGATGCAAGCCAAATAAAACCAGGTGGTTTAGACAGCAAAGTAGCTTTGCAATTAGCTTACTGGTTCTACTTTTTGGCATTACACAATGTTATTGGAGATAGTTTAGGACTGTAGACTGTATGCGATGTATTCTGGGACACTTCATCCAATTCAAAACTCCAATCACAGAGTGAAGGAGGACACTTGAAGGGATCTGAGGAGCTTTAATGCCCTTTCTTGTATCTTTCTCTCAGGTTATCTATCCTTTCATCTGGTTATCTATATTTAAGAACATTTAAATCATATTACTAACTGAAAATAATTGTCACAGAGCTACTACATATAATCAGCATGAACAACTGTTAAACAGTTTACATCAACAATCCATCAAAATATGTAAATTAATCACGTTAATCAAATTAATTAACATTAGAGCATTACATAACAATTAAAGCAACAATTAAATAAATAACTGATGCTACAGCAGTTAGGTTAAAAGTAATAGCACTACCATGGTACCAGCATGGATTTATAATAATATTATTATTATAGTTCCATAAGTACCAGTAATAGCGTTGCCATGGTACTCCCAAGGACTCCTGGGCTGCCTAGAAATGCCTGAACTAAATAAACAGTTACTGAACTAACAGTTATACTGGGGAATTTACAACAAAGTAGCTGTGAAATCCCAGCCGCTGTTTATGCTAAATTATAAAAGATTTTCACATTTAGACAAATTATATCAACAGTTTGTCATCCATCAATTGTATGTCTTAATTACCTGATTTTCCAGTTTTTGTTGTCGAATATCTGTATCCTCCATGATGTCTTAGAGGCGGTGTCACTTCAAAGCTTACAAAGATTGCAGAAAAAGAGCAATCTCAAACTTGTGTTTCTAATTAAACAAACTCTGCCATTTCACACATCGTAGGTTACCTTGTACATTCGAGAGACTGTCAGTCGGGTGAAGCAGAAGGCAAAGTGGATTAGAAGGAGATAATGTTCTTATATTGACCACACTACGGAGTATGGACAGGGAATGGACAAGGAGCGGACGGGGGGGCAGGACGAGGGAGGCCATGCCGACCAAGAAAGCCATCGGACCGTCGGACCAGTGTCATCAGTTCACTTTCGCATCAACGCTGTCGAGAGTTATTGTACCAAGCCATCATCATAATGTTATTAAAAAGACATCTGCTTTGCTTGTAAAAAACAAATAAATTACAAAAAATTGAACCCTCGCGTTTTAATCCATCTACATTTGATGTTTGTTCCTAAAAGCCTTCAGAAGCGCTAGCATTGCACACGCTACTCTCAGCGGGAAACTCACAGGTTTATCCCGTTGTCATGGATACAACAGCAGTGATCAGCACCGTAAGGCCACATTTCAGAAGACGGCCTTCATGATAAAATCAGTTAGGCCTACATCAAACATACGTTTATAGAAATATACGTGAATGGTTCATATGAAATGTCATATTTAAATGTGGCATTAGCTTTTTAACAGTATGTCCACTTTAATGACCAACATAACCATCTGAAATATCATGACCATTATTATGGTAGTAAACGAACCGGAAATGCAGCCACCGTTGCTAGGGAACCGTGAAACTGACAAACAGAAAGTGGTCCAGGATGATTTTCGGGCTTTCCTTCATCTGGTTTTCTTTAGGGTTTATTTGTAAAATATTAGCTGGTTGGTGTTTTTTCTAAAATTATCTGGTTTGGCCTAAGATGACAATGGAAATAAAAATTATGGTGAGATTTTTATTTTATTAGAAATTCAAAAAGTCTCTGCATTACATCTTCTGTAAAACCTCATTCATATCTGATCTTCTAGATACCACAAGAGCCAAAAGCCAAAGTCATGCTGTGGTAAGAATTGCTCTATACACTGTTTTTAGTTAAATTATTTTGCTTTTAACCTTTTGTGTATTTGTACATTCCAGGACAGACATAAGCTACCATGATATGGAAAGGCTGAATAAAATACAATCTATTCCTGAGCTACAAATGTGTGCAAAAATATATTCTAAACTCTTCTAAATGTTACTTCTATTTTCAGCCATGTACACTATATTTGATACATATTTTGCTTGACAGTACTTTGTGTGAATTACTCGAGATAGATGTCCCAAACCCAAAGCGTGGAATTCTGCTGGACCTTTATGTCCAAACAGTATTTTATTGCAGAGAAAATAATTTTAAACCTACCCAAACATCCACCCTTCTATCCATCCTTAAATCTATTCACAAGATTAATGCTGGTTGGTAACTCTTACCATTAATAAATGAGTTGACTAGAAATATAGGGCTTTCATATTTTGTCCATGCTTTCTCCTGCAGAAACTGTCATTAACAACATAGAACATTGTCATACATATTGCAAAGAGCTGTTGCTTTGTCATTCAGTTCGGGTTGGTAAACAAAACATTTAATTGATCGAAGCTTTAAAATTGTCCATTATTAAGACTTTTTTGTAACTCTCACAGCAACCACCATTTAGCATTGACCTTTATAACTCAGAGGAAGTGACTTCTATCTATAAATACATCTACAACAGTTATATGAGACACTACAGACTCTATAAATTTGTTTTTACTCCACAGGTATGAAAATGAAACATAAGCATGTTTATTATATGTATACTTTATACACCATAAATAAAGTACACTAACTTTTTCTTTTCTGTATCACAGTTAAAACTTGATTTGTCTCTGACATATTCGGATAGCACTGATCAGAATGTTGCTGCTACTTCAGGTAATGATGTCACTATACTTTTTTTACACTATTCTTTCATTTAAAGCTATATGCATTTTTATGCATGAAATGATAAAATAGAAGATGTATACCTTTCCCCAACAAAATCAGAGGACAGCTAAGAAGGCAAGCACATATTCTGCAGTAATTATATAATATTTAAAATAATTTGGTTTGGTTTAGTTTCATAATGTCATTCTTTTTCATCTTCAGCCTAGAACCAATGGGACAAGCAATGCAATACTACAAAAAGTAGAAGCAAAAGAATGTTCTCTGTATTTGCTTTCTAATAAAACACACTGAAAAATTGCCTGAAATGTTTTATTGTCACAAGGAATTGGCCAATATTTTCTCATAAGCAGATGGTTCAATTACACATTCTTCAAATATTGATGAAAAGGTACCAGTGGTTCTGAGTTTTTCAAACAGTAAAACCATTCAGTTTGTGTAAGCAGGTCTTTTAATCACAACATACCTTAGAATGTAATAGTTTCTCTACATCAAGTAATAGTCATAGTAAATAATTATATCGGTTAATACAGTGTTCCTATATCACAACACACAAAGTACCTGGATGGGTTTTCACTGAGAATGAATACAATGAACAGTTTATATTATTGTGTTATTTTTTTTTTCATAGTATTTGTGCAATGAGGTTAATGGCGATGTGCCAGTGCAAACATGTTGACCTAACATAAACACTAAAATCAAAAGAGAAAAAAGCATTTTACTTTATATTGTGCGTGCCAGAGATAAAATTGCAGAACCAAGGCTTAATTTAAGGCAAACAAATAAAACTGGTCTTTCTTAAAACAGTCTAAAAATATAACTTGATAAAAGACAGACATAAACATGGCAAAAATGCATGTGGTCAAATTAAAAATAAAAGGAATGAGGCTATTTAGGTATCAAAGTCCTCTAGACCCAAGAGAACAATTTTAGCTGTGTTCTGGAAGAGAGCTGCGCGATTCTGCTGCTCACCTTTCTTTACCCAGTGCCCATAAATTCGGAAAGCACAGCCATCAATGAGCTTACGCACCCCACGGATGGAGTAAGGGTCTCTGGCCAAAACGTCCCGGGTTAGTGGGCGGACCCTGCGGTATCGACTGTACATTCGAATACAGGCCAACACTGAGACAATCAGCACCTAAGGATAAAAAATAAAGGAAATTAGAGACTTGTACTTTTTTTGTTGATAAAATGTGCTATAGAAATTTTAATTTGTATGAACCCAATTCTAAAAGATGAAGATAAAACAACACCATTTAAAAATAACACACTTAACTTAAAATGCATCATATTTTATATAGACCACCAATATAAACACATTGCTTCTTGGAAAATCAGACAGCAGACACAAGCACTGACATTTGTAATTTTGCTCACCCTAAAAGACTTTCTTGGGCTAAAAGTACGCAACTCTTCTTTCTGATAAAGTCGGAAGAAGGAATGTGCCAAAGCCTGTTCAGCTGTCAGACGGGTAGCAGGGTCCACCACAAGCAGCCTGGAAATCTGATTAGAAACAAAGTTATAAATAATGTTATAAAGAAGGCAGACACATTTACATACAGTAAGTACATATGTACTACACACATGTAAATTTTAAAAAAGCTGTTAAAATTAAGAATTTTCAATAACTTTACCAAGTCTTTTACAGTGTCAGACCGGTCATCCCACTCCGGGGAGCTGAACTGATAGCGCCCCTCCATGATCATTCTCAGCATCAGCATCTGTTTACGATGCCAGAAAGGAGGAGACCCAGCCAGAAGGGTGAAAAGTATCACTCCACAAGCCCAACTAAGTCACAAGAAAAAAATCATCAAAATCTTGGTATCAACAAAGTGTTTTCTGTAATGTTTGTATACAGATCATAAGTCTTACAGATCAACCTCTTTGCCATAGCCTGGATGCATTTCATCCATTGAGCATCTCAAGATTTCAGGTGCCAAATAACCAGGTGTCCCACAAAGCTCTGAAGATAAAAAATAAAAATAAAAAATCATCCAAGAACAATCTGTGAGGGGCAACAGAATCTGAAATGTTGTAGTAGTACCTCTGAGTTTTTCTCCTGGTTGTAGCTGCACTGAGAAACCAAAGTCAGATAGTTTAATATGTCCTTGATCATCAAGAAGAATGTTCTCTGGTTTGAGGTCTCGGTGGACAATGTTGAGGGAGTGAAGGTACTGCACAGCCTCCAGCAGAGCTCGCATAATACTCCTTACAAATATACACATAAATAATACATTTAGATAAAAAGACATTGCAATGGATTATTCTGATTAAAAAAACACTTCATTCCATATCCAATGTCAAGATGCAATCATTCTTGTCTCACCTGGTTTCTTTTTCACTCAGAGTTACTTTTTCAGTGAGGTAGTCAAACAGCTCCCCTCGTCGCATGCTGAAAATATATGAGTAAAATCAAGCTTATCTTTTACCTAAAGATGTCTAGTTAAATCAACCAGACTTAATACTTACAGGTCAAACACTAAAAATATGAAAGTTGCTGATTCATAGGAATCCACAAGTGTAACTGAAAGTAAACAGATAATTTTATATATAAAGGAAATGCACACATATAACAAATACATAACTTCTATACATACTTATTGAGGGGTGCCCTTTCACCATGTTGAGCACTTGAATCTCCTTCAGTGTGGACACTTTAACCTCCTCCAACTGCTGGATAGTCATTTTTTCTGCTGTTATTTCAATAATCTTCACTGCTAACTCCTGCCCAGTGTGTCTATGCACACATCTGCGCACAACACTGCTCACCCCCCTTAAAGACAATGAATTAAGTAGATATGACACTGCTGACAGTTCAGATCTGCAGATTAGAATTTACTTTTGGACTCACCTCCCAATCACCTCTTTGGGGTCATATTTCTGGTAAAACTCTTTGGCCCCCACCCAGTCTGGTAATTCATCTCCAACAACTATATCTTTGGTCATAATGATAGCATATAAATCTGAAACAACACAGGAGCCACACAACACCAAACATTGTTAGACTGAGGGCTGTGCATTTAATTAATTAATTAGATGTATCATGTATTGCTAATATGTGTTCTCTGTAAATAGTGTACACAACAGGAGTAGAAATAGGCTATATTTCACTGGAACCTATAGAAAACTATACCATAAATGGCAGCATATTGCAACATTGCTACAGGAACTGGAAAGCCGCAGTACGCGTATTTTCGTACAGGCAATCTTCGGGATAGTTTTACCGTAAATTACAAAACATATTTATGTTTCACCAGGTTCACGCGCTATCTCAGATACACCGTATTACTGTAGCCCTATGCCCATCAAAAGAGTAAATCCCTCAAGGACTTTGGCCTTAGCTACCGTCTCCGCTCATGACAAAATCTACTTACAGTGAAATCCCACAAAGGCCTGGACGCATCAGCTGACAAACATGAAAGTGCACCTATAGGTGCATTTAGTAGTCATAAAATCAGCAGGGTTCTCAGATTTTACATTTAGATCGGACATGGACACTATTTACATTTCTGGCACATTCCTGTAGGAGAGTGTGTCAGTAATGCCCCCTGGTGGTTGGAGTTTAAACTCCAGACAAGTGAAGGAAGTTATATGTTTTTGTTTGTTTGTTTGTGTTGAACCACGTGGCATTTCGTTTAATAGTATTTGTTGTATTTTATATAGTTCAATTATTATATTTTATAGTAAAATATAATTCATATGGCATACATTTTATCAATGTAGATTTTTCAGTCGTCCCGGCGGAAAAACTATTGTGTCACTTCCGCTTTTCTATGTGTACGTCCGTTCTCTGTCGATTGTAGTAAAGGTTTGTACAGTTACATTTTGTCTAAATATTCCACATATCCGATCCTGCTGAGGTGCAACATCCTCTCTATTTCGTGTATTATGCAACGGTTACTAAGACATTAACCAAGAGTCATCTTTTCTGCCCGATTCATGGTGTAGACTTGAATCAATCGGCAAAACGTTAGCTTTAGCTTATGTCTTAGCACTTTGCCGTTCTTAAACCTTAAATTACTCTTGAAATATTTGTTAACACCATATATTGCAATAATATATAGCTATAGTTCAAACTGCAAGATGCCTATAAGGTATAATATAGTTTATTCATCTAGTAATACAGGGTTGGTCTTTGCACTGTAGCGATTTTGTGATTTCCCATGCATGCGTGTTAAAATTATTTGACTTCTTTCATTCAGACAAAGTGAAAATGTCAGGTGCTGGGGGAGGAAAGCGTCCCATGGGCGGGGACAGCCCCCCTGGCCCACCTGAGAAGAAAAGCAAAAAGGAGGAGAAGACCACTACCACTCTGATTGAACCCATTCGCATTGCTGGTGTCTCTTCAACGGTTAGTCTGACCCTGTTTCACACTCTCGATTATTACTGCATGTTTTTTATGTGAGTTCTCAATGCTGATATTCACCATTCACAGGAGGAAATGGACATGAAGGTTATCCAGTTTAAAAACAAAAAGCTCTGTGAGCGTTTGGAGCAGAGACAGGCTATGGAGGATGAGTTGCGTGAGAAAATTGAGAAACTGGAGAAGAGGCAGGCCACAGATGACACAACTCTCCTTATTGTCAATCGTTACTGGTCACAGGTACTGCACAGTTTTGTATTTGTCATATTAATTATATTACACTGGACAAAAACATTATTAAGTTGTCTTATTGATCTTCAGCTGGAAGAAAACATGCATATTCTACGCAAACGCATTGAACCAGCGCCATCAGCTCCATCTGCCCCTGTTCCATTCTCTGCTCCACTCCCTGATTCAGCTCCAATGGAGGAAGATGGCATCAACATGGTATCGCCAACTTCATCTTCGTCTGTGCCTCTGCCTCCGTTGCCGGAAGGACAGAGTGTTGCAGAGCAGCCAGAGCCTCCAAGAGATGAACACCAAGAGGAAAATGTCCCTGAAGCACTACATCAACCTGCTCCTCCTGCTGAAGGAACAGAAGAGCAGTCGGCATCTACCGAGCAGCCACAAGAAACTGGTTTGTTTTACAATTTAACCAACAGGTGTGGAATTCTAAAATGAGACTGATTTGTTAATAGTTTTGTTTTCTGTGCAGATCCACTTCCACCTCCACCTCCTTTGAGCGAGAATGCTAAAGTTTTTCTTACAATATTGGAGCACAGCAGTGAGGAGGAGTTGTCACTTCATCTTCAGGATCGCATGAAGTTTAGCAAAGATGTTGTTGGA